CATAACAACAACAACAGGGCTTTATTTGGATCGATGAAATCTATTCTAGAGAATGATCCATGTGCATTATAGAAAAACATATACCCTACTGTCATTGAGTTAAAGTGTTCTTTAAATGTCTGTTAGGTCTAGTTGGTTTCTAGTGTTATTCAGGACTCCTATTTCTTGTTGGTTTTTGGTGTATCTGTTCTGTCCATAATTGAAAGTTATATGTTGAACTCTCAACTCCCACTCCCTGTTTTTAGAAGCAACTGAATGAACATGCCTTAACTAATGCCTAGCTAGGACTTCACATTGGTTAAGGGTTCCTCTCCACTACCCACAGCCCAGCTCCAAGTCCTTCTTAGAGCAGCAAAGCCAAGAGGCCACTTCCAGGGGACCCACAAGGAGACTATACCTGTGGTCAGAGAGTAGTAGACAGACTCAGTCAGGTTGGTGGGCCTGTTTTGATCTCCCCATCACAGTAATCCAGATGTCATGCACAGTCCATACCCTTGTTCTTCCCTTGCTGTGCACTTATGTGCACTAGGGCATGCTCCTAGAACTGGCCATTGGATAATGCAGGACTAGTCTGGCCTGGTCAGGACAGTGACATGATGGTTTGCAGGATGCTGGATAAATCACATATTGCATGAAAAATACCAGACTTTGTATGAAGAACTCAAAGAACTCTTCAAAGATCTAATCTCATCATTGAAGAGAAAGGGATCTAGAGAAGTTAAGGTGGATCACCCAAAGTTTGTATGCTGGGGTCAGCCCAGTAGACAAGGTTGTGCTGTGGGCTTGACATAGTGAATTTTTCAGTTTCCTCAGAAAAGTGGCAGCAGGCCTGGGGCAGCAGCTCTTACTCCCCTAGGAGGGATGTGGGAGGCCCCAGAGTCAAAACTGAGACCTCAGAAGGAAGAGCCTATAGGAAAAGGCTAGGTACTAGGGGTACCAAAGATGGCCCTGCTCACTGAGTGTGAGGTTCTCCCAAGTGCCCAGAAATCAGGTCCCCAGTCCCAGAGACTAGAACAGGGGTTCCCTCATCACCTTACCTAGGTGTGCTCAGATAGTCCACCCCTGGACTACACTCAACTCACACTGGGATCAGCTGCTTTCAGGACACATTATCAACTCCTCACCTTCATTCTCACCCTGCATCACTTCCAGTGATTCTGCCCCCACAAGTTCACTAAGCCAACCCTTCCCAGGTTACTCAACCTCATCTTCCTTAACAGTCTCTCATAGGCCAACTTAATTTTCCTCCTCCATCCATCTCTAGCTTCAGGCCTTGTCCACAGACCTGGGATTCATCAACCATGTTCAGAGAAGTACCTCTGCCCAGTCATGGCTGCAAACTTGCTCTAGGACCTCACATTAGCTGCCTGAGGCATTATCATCAATGATACTTCCTGCTGCCTGTCCCTCAGCAGAACATCAAAATACTTCCAGTATCCCAGACTACACACTTTGATGACAACTTTCATCCTGAGCCCTGTAGGTGAGACTTTAGAACTCTGTGGCCCTGTTGCCCATATCATAACTTCACTAAAGCTATATCTGCATTCCTATATAGGCCCCTCACTGTCCTTTCTTCAAACTCTAGGACACCTCACCATCCCTTTTCCATCCTTTAGGACCCTTCATCTCTCCCCATATCCCCTTCTCTATCCTTTATGGTTTCACATATCATTTTCTCCACCCTCCCCCTGTTGTTAAGTGCAGTTGAGTTGGTTCCAACTCATAGCAACCCTATATAGAGTTTCCAAGGAGTAACTGGTGAGTTTGAACCATGGTCCAGTGCTTTTTCCCACAGTGCCACAACAGGACTCCCTGTAATAGGTCTTATTTCTTAATTTCCTGAGTTACCTCCTCACATGGCCCAATCACAGATAAAAGTCATCATAATACCCCTTATGGTACTATCTAAAATGCAAATATAAGCACCCCACCACCACCAAATCATCAGTAATCCCCTGTCACATGATGCCCTTCACTGGATCATAGATCACTTTTGCGTCTAGTAACATAAGAGAACATGTTGCCTTTGGGAATTTGAATGGCTGTTCCTCTGCCTATAGTCTCCCACCCCCACCCCTTCACAGGTATATCAGAACCCTGTTCACCTGACCCCTTCAGCTAATATTCACAAAGTCAGTGCCCACTTGGGTCCACCTGTGCTGTGTCCAGCATGGAACCAATAAGCAGGCAGCTTTACTGCTCCCACACATACCTGTCCTCTGAGTCCTATCTGTATGTCCATCTTCCTGAATATCCAACCCACAATGACTTCTTTTCCTTCTTCACTGCAATCACCCAGCTAGTACCACACATCTCTGGTACCTGGGTCAGGTGGGGAGCAGCCTGACAGGTTGGGAAGTGGGTATGATCAATGGATTAGAGAACCAACTATATTGGTCTTTACCTTTAGATTGTCTTGTGATACTCTCTGCTCCTGCTCTTCCTTAGATTCCAAATCTATAAGGAGCTATGGAGGATATAAAAACGCTGTCCTGATGGCTGGGAACACCCAGTGGACAATTGGATACCTGCCCTCCATAAATTCATGTTCAATGTTAAAACTGACAGTGACTCAAAAATAACATGTCAAAGAGCACAGAGAGGGTTGGGCGCTAACATGCCCCATAAAGGAACCCTCTCCTTGTTTATCCCCACACCCACTGGAGAAAGAGCATGGATGACAGAAGGACAGAGTGCTGAGTACCAATCCCCAACAACTCTGTCTCTAAAATAGACATAGATGCTTACAACACAGGGACATTTGTTATATAACATCTCTGCACTTACCACAGGGTTTTCATGGCTGAAGGTATGGGAGAGATGCTACACTCTGTCAGCAGCCTGTGGCTACAACTCTCTCCTCTGTCTTCTCCTCCACCTTTTCTATCTTGTCCCCATCCACCACCTCATCCTACCATTTCCCATTACCTCAGGAGTTATCCCTCCCAAAGTCATCCAGTCCCACCCACCAGTTTTGGTTGTGTCAGTGATCACAGTGCTAACTGGTACCACAGTGATTGATGAGGCTACAAAAACTACAGGTGCCACTGCCAGGCTTCTTGGTTCATTCCTGGATGTTCCCAGACCCTGTACGTGGCTCATCCTGGGGGCTTCCTGTTAGGTCTCACAGAAGTCTGGCAGGCAGGATGACAGAAACAGTAGGAAGAGGAGTGGCATTGGGCAGTCTTGGAGGATGAATGGAATGTTCCAAATGAATATTAGATGAGAACCATTATAGAAACAGATGACAGAGTCCACCTAGAGCAGGGAACATATAGGGGCCTGTGTCCTGGGGAATAGGCTAGGAAAAGTAGAGAAGGGGGTAAGGCAGACTGTGGCTGCAAAGAATTGGGTGAGTCCTTCTCATCGTCATCAGAGACTTGAACAAGAAAAGCAGTGAGAACCCAAGGTGTGACCTTAGTGATAGGATGTTACTAGACACAAAAGTGATCTGTGATCCAGTGAAGGGCATCATGTCACAGGGGATTACTGATGATTTGGTGGTGGTCATGTATCAGGAAGGACCCCTTTAGTAACAACATCTGCCCCTATATGGGCAATGGTGAGCTATCTCTCCAAGCAGAAAACAGACTTGGGTGGCAATGATTATGTCCCAGTTCCCAGTTCAAGGCTGGCTCACTGTGGCTACTCTTACTTCCAGTCCTAGGATCATGGCACCCTCATCACCATCTCCTTAGATAAGTCCCTGCTACAGCCCCTCTGGGTTAGTCCCTGGGATCTGCAGTCAGCCTGATGAGAGCACTAGAATAAAGGGCACATGGCAGTCAGTCATTCATCTCCACTGACTTTGGTCAGCTAAGGCTGGAGGACAGGACAGGCACCTCTTTAAGAACTGTCCTTCAGAGCCAGCAGACCCTGAGCAGCTGACATACACAGGGTCAATGCGGAGGGCTGAGCAAGAGAAGTTGCAAGGGCCAATGGGGAAAGGGAAGTTGGGGCAGAGTAGCGCAGATGTGGGTGGGGTGTTGGCCACACATATCAGTGTGGCTATGACTACCCTGACTAGTGGGGCCAGGGCACCTGGTCACCATCTTCACAGGTGAATGTCATACAGCCTTGGTGAGTAGGAATCTAAGGCAACCAGTCAGCCTCTCGTGTCTGGGACTGTGTAGGTTTACCTCTTTTGTGGTACTGGTAAATCAATTTCTTGAGGTCTTTTGTCTACGTGGGGTCTTCCAGGTCTCTCCGGGCTGTTGTTGTTGTTGTTGTTGTTGTTATGTGCCATGGAGTCGATTCCAACTCATCGCGACCCTGTACAGGGTTTCCGAGGCTGTAAGTCTTTACGGGAGCAGAAAGCCTCATCTTTCTCCCACGGAACACCTGGTAGTTTTGAACTGTTGACCTTGCGGTTTGCAGCCCGATTCATAACCACTATACTACCAGAGCTCTTGGGGCTCTATCTGAGGTTATTTGTTAGAGGTTGTTTCTAAACTCTGTAAAGGGCATTTCTGTAGGGGTGTAAGTTCTCTGTTCCAGGAATACAAGCTTGACAGACATTTTTCATTTGGGAGGACATGAAAACCTAGAGTTTTTTGACTTAGGCCCTAGAGATGGATGATCAGATGGGTCAGGGTTTTTGAACACCCCCTAGTGGGATACATGATAATGTGATTACTTCTACAACTGGGGCCAGGGGACCCTGGTCACTGTTTCATCAGGTAAGTCTGATTTCTGTCTTCCTCCTCCTTTATCCTGGTGCTGAGAAATCAATTTCTCAGGGTCTTTTGTCTACATAAGTCCTCCAGGGTCTCTCAGGGCTGTATCTGAGGTTATTTATATGTGGTTTAGTTCTATACTCTTTAAAGGGCATTTCTGTAGGGGTGTGAGTTCTCTGATCCTGAAATACAAGATTAACAGAGTCATTTTTCATTTGGGGGTACATGAGAACCTAGAGCTTTCTGATTTGGGCCCTAGGCAAGGGTGATCAGATGGGTCAGGGTTTTTGAACACCCTCTAATGGAGTACATGACGATGTGATTACTTTGACTACTGGGGCCAGGGGACCCTGGTCACCGTCTCCTCAGGTGAGTCCTCAATGTCTGTGTCGTCCACTTGTCTCTGAAGGTTTTTGTTGTATTTTGGAGGGGGGAAGATGGATATCTGGATCTCAGAATACAAAGGTCTGGGGGTAGTCTAGAGGACTCATGCAGGGCCAAATATAGTGCTGAGACTTACAGGGGCAAGGATCAGAGACTACCCCCACCCTGTCCTTCTGGACACGGCAGCTGGAAATTTCTTTGGGGATCTCAACCACCCTTGGCATCATGAGTCCCCTCTGCCCTCTTGGCCCTAACTGGACTCAATTTAGAAGGTCCTGAGGTCTTTGACGGCCATCATTGGGGGCCAGTTCTTGCCCTGGATCCTTGCACATTTTTCACAATGTAACTATTGGTCTGATGACTGGGGCCAGGGGACCATGGTGACCATCTCCTCCGTGAGCCTTCACCCTTTCCCCACTCTCAACAGGATTTTAACTGCATTTGGGGAACACTGGGCTGCAGGGTGTCAACCTCAGAGAGAGACTAAAGAAATTTGGAGGTCAGGAGGGGAAGACTTGACCTCCCTATTCTCACAGGAGGATTTGTCAAATGTTTGTAGGTACTAGGAAAGGTGGTTTCTATGCCTGATCTGAACACCATATCTGAGAGAGACCACTCTCTGCTTTTGGGGGTTTTTAAGGGGTTGTCACAACTCTGTGTGGGAAAAGGGGGACTCTTTGCCCAGCTCTGAAGAATCCACTTCCTGGGCGTTGTCCCCTCCATCTGAGAGTGTCCATGGCAGTGATCTGGAAGGGACCAGGTTGGATTACAGGGTCTTATGTGTTACCAGTAGAGCACTCTAGGTCAGGGAATGAGGTCTTAATAAGAAAGTTGAGTGGGTATGGGGTGTCTGGTGGCCTGTTCTTTGTGCTGGTGCCTGGATTTTTGTGGGATGGAGAAAGAGATTCCACCATTGTGACTACGGTATGGACTTCTGGGGTCCAGGAACCATTGTTACCGTCTCTACAGGTAAGAGCTTTTTGGGTCTTTGTTTTGTGCTCGTGGTTGTGCTAGAGTTTTCTGAGGATTGGAGACTAGTCAGTGGACATGTCTTTTGGGGGGCTGGTTGGTGGGACAGGCAGGGGCTGAGGAGCCTCAGGGATTGAGAATCCCCAATTGTTTTTCTTATGCTTTTCCAAAATGTATTCTATGCTGACAGTGTCTCATGAAAAGTCTGAGCCCCTAAAAGTAGGGACCCCAAGTTTAGGGCTTGAAGTTTTGGGGCCAAAGACCCTGATGGCATTGGGGTCTCTTTATGCCTAGAAGGCAATTTGTGACAAATTGAGAAAATTTTAATGGTTGAATCACAGTGTTAGTGGAATAATGTGAGGTCATAGAATCATAGGTATGATACATATAAGAGTGCTGAATGGGTTACTGTCTTTTGAATTACAAGTTTTAAAATTTAGAATAATTTAGAATTTAGAATTATGTTCTGTCCTAGATTCAGACTTAAATCCTGTATTGGCTAGAAAAAATATTGCCTGAGTGAGTGAATCAAACAAGGGGTCTTCTTGTCTTGATGGACTTCCAAAGTCTTCTAGCGACCTTCTAGTTCTCCTGAACAGAACTTTTTGTAGTGAATTTTGCTTTGTGAGGACAGTTGATATGAGAAAATGATTTATTAATTTAAAAGATACTCTTACTAAATATTTAAAAAGTAGGTACTGTTGATGTGGCTCCTGAGGAAAATGGTCAAATACAAATTACATAAAACACTGAGAGACTCTCAGGTATGTTAGATAGAAACTGGCAAAATATTTTAAAACTTTATTATAATTTTTAACAAACAAGTCCATGTCTTTTTGGAATTTATAAGTTTGCTAGTTCAGGCAGGACATAGCAAAATGTGATGGTATCATTTCTCCCATTTCAAAATTGAATTTTGGTATTATAATAAATCAAGCCTGCATTCTTTTAAATTAATTGAGCAATGTATAGGGAGAACAGTCCTTTAGTTGTAGTCAAGATGGCTGCAGAAGGTGGCAGGAAACAGATGGCAGGTGGCAGGAAACAGATCACACACAGAGTCTATTTTAGGAAACAAGAAAACACAGTTGGTAAATTTATAGTTCATGGTTATGAAGAAGTGGTTTTCAGATGGTTTTGCCCAGCCCCACTTATCTGGAAGTGGCCCCTTGTGAAAAACAACACCTGGGAAATTTGCATTTCTAAAATAGTGTTCAGATGCAGACTGGAGAGATGAAACTGGAGTGTTCCTTTTTAAAGTTAATTGAATTAAATTTTCTAGTTTAATTTATCAACTTCTAATTTGTATTTATTTTAAAATAAAGTGTTTTAATATATAAAGTTAGATAGTTTATGGATGCATCCATATAACTTTTTAATTACTCTGTTCCTTCATATGATAATTAACCTCAGATCATCTTCCAGTGCCTTAAACAATGTTTTTGCAAGGACGATAATCACTTTTTTTTCCTAAATAGCTTGTGTTCTCTTTGGAATTAAATAATACTTTGATATTCTGCTAAAGTTACCTTAGTTTTATATTTTAAAAATAATTTTATTGTTGTATAAAGATGGAGGACACAATATTTGCCAACTCACCATATTTTTCACATATAATTCAGGGTGATCACTTATATTAATCATCAATAACCCACCTCAATATGTTTGAAGACTACTCTTCAAGTATTTATTTTTGGATGACATTTTATATTTTAGTTATCTCTTTTAATGTGTTGATTGGTATTTTAAAGGAAAATGAGTCAGGTAGAACATCAGAAAAGAACTTTGCAAAAAAAAACTTCAGAAGTGCAGGTTGTTTTTGATCGTTGATGTCTTGGTACCTGAGTTGAAGGAAAGTCATCAGTAAGGAAATGTGAACAGATCCCTCAAGCGTGGCCTTGGCTTCACAGTCTCCCAGGACTGCTGGGGCTGGGGACATACAGTCCTTGCTTTTGCCACTGATGACCAACCTCGCTATTCATGAACTAGAAGTCTTTAAATGGATTTGCAAGGAGTATTCAATGCCAAATGGCCTCACAAGACTTATAAGTGATCAGTTGACAGAGAAGGTAAGAGAAAATCAGTCCACTTTATCTCCCTTATTGCTCTACAATGTTCATATTAATGTTTTGTTTCTATGTAAAGGATAATCAGGCTTAGTATTATTTCTCAGAGGAGAGGTAAAGACATTTTGTGTGATTCCCTGAGTGACCACAGCCTGGTCCACTCTTAGCTAATTTCCCTAAAGAATAATTGAAAGAAGAATTGGCAGGAACTGATATATTACTTACTTGACAAAGCTTGTATTGTTCATGATATTTTATAGTATACAAAGTACTCTTAAATGATTTTTATATAATATATAAAGGCAGTTTAGGTTATAGATCATTCTTGTGCACTTTGCATTACTATCTACCTTCTAAAGAACTTTAAGGTGAACAGCATGTTTATAAATTGCAAATTCAGATAAAAGTCATATCCTGGTAGCTTTCAATGATGATTTTCAGCTGGAAAGAATTTAGTAATAATCAATGGCCTTTTATAGACTCAAAAGAAAGGAGCCCAAGCAAAGGGGAAGGTGGAAAAAGTGTGAGGGAAGAATTCCCTGATCTGAGCCTTGTGTGTTACTTACTGATCCTAGAACCAAAGAGGGATGCTTTGATTTTGTGGAAGGAATTCTGTTCCTTAACTATTGCAAGCTTTTTTTTCTAATTAATTTAAAGACTTCAATAAATAATGGTCATGGCTGGAGGGTAATAGTGTTGTGGAGCCAAAGCTGGTTGGACTGGGGCAAAACCATCAGGATTCTAGGGCACAGGCGGGGAGAAAGGTTGAAAGAGGTGTCAAGGAAAAACTGACCCTGGACTTAATTTGGAATGAGATGGTTTTAGCTAAGATTGTTGTTGTTGTTGTTAAGTGCCTTTGAGTTGGGCCAGCTCATAGAGTTTCTGAGGAGCATCTGTGAGTTTGAACCTCTGACCTTGAGGTTAACAGTTTAGTACTCTTTATCTAAAAATGGTTGTGGTGATTATGTGCCATGGAGTTAGTTCCAACTCATAGTGACCCTATTTGGTTTCCAAGGTTGTAAATCTTTACAGAAGCAGAAAGCCTCATCTTTCTCCCAAGGAACTGATGTTGATGGCTCTATGCAGGACCCTGGGCTAGCTGGGCTAAATTAGGCTAGGTTGAGTTGAGTTGAGCTGGGCTGGACTAATCTGAACTGAACCAAGCTGAACTAGCCTGAGCTAGCTGGGTTGAGCTGGGCTGGATGAAGCTGGGCTAGCTGGGCTAAATTAGACTGCATTGAGCTGAGCTGAGCTGGGCTGAGCTAGGCTTGATGAAGCTGAGCTAACTGGGCTAAGCTAGACTGGGTTGAGCTGATCTGAGCTGAACCAAACTGAGTTAATCTGAGCTAGCTGTACTGGACTATGCTGGTTGGGCTAGCTGGGCTGAGCTGGGTTGAACTGGGCTCAGCTGGACTGAGCCATGCTGGATGAAACTGGGCTAGCTGGGCCAAATTGGACTCAGTTGAACAGAGCTAGCTGGACTGGGCTAAACTGAGTTGAGCCAAGTTGAGTTAAACTGAGCTAGCTGTACTGATCTGGGCTGAATGGGGCTAGCTGGGATGAGCTGGGTTGAACTGGGATGAGCTGGACTGAGCTAGGCTAGATGACACTGGGCTAGCTGTGCTAAATTAGAATGGGTTGAGCAGAGCTAGCTGGGCTGAGTTGAATGATGTTAAACTGAGCTGAACCAAACTGGGTTAATCTGAGCTAGCTGTGCTGATCTGGGCTGAATTGGGCTAGCTGTGCTGATCTGGGCTGAATTGGGCTAGTTGGGCTGAGCTGCGCTGAGCTAGGGTTGATAAAGCTGGGCTAGCTGGGCTAAACTGAGCTGAACCAAGCTGAGCTAACCTAAACTAGCTGTGCTGATCTGGGCTGAGTTGGGCTAGCTGGACTGAGATAGGTTTGATGAAGCTGGGCTAGCTGGTCTAAACTAAACTGGGTTGATTCAAGCTGAGCTATACTGAGCTAAGCTGGATGAAGCTGTGCTAGCTGGACTAAGTTAGACTGGGTTGAGTTGGGCTGAAGTAGGCTTGATGAAGCTGGGCTAGCTGGGCTAAACTAGACTGAGTTGAGCGGGGCTAAACTGAGCTGAGCCAAGCTGAGTTAATCTGAGCTAGCTGTGCTGAGATGTGCTGAGTTGGGCTAGCTGGGCTGAGCTGGGTTGAACTGGGCTGAGCTGGACTGAGCTAGGCTGGATGAAGCTGGGATAGCTGGGCTAAGTTAGACTGGGTTGAGCAGAGCTAGCTGGGTTGAGCTGGACGATGCTAAACTGAGCTGAACCAAACTGAGCTAACCTGAGCTAGCTGTGCTGATCTGGGCCGAGTTGAGCTAGCTGGGCTGAGCTAGGCTTGATGAAGCTGGGCTAGCTGGGCTAAGTTAGACTGGGTTGAGCTGAGTTGAGCTGGGCTGCAGTAAACTGAGCTGAACCAAGCTGAGCTAACCTGAGCTAGCTGTGCTGATCTGGGCTGAATTGGGCTACTGGGTTGAGCTGGGCTGAGCTGGACTGAGCTAAGATGGATGAAGCTGAGTTAGCTGGGCTAAGATTGCATTGAGTTGAGCTGAGCTGAGCTGAGCTGAGCTGGACTGGGCTAAACTGAGTGGAACCAAGATGAGCTAACATGAACTAGCTGTGCTGATCTCGGCTGAGCTGGGCTATCTGGGCTGAGCTGAGCTAAACTAGGCTAGACAGAATGAGCTGGGCTAGCTGAACTAGGCTAGATGAAGCTGGACTAGCTGAGCTGAGCTGGACAGGGCTCGGGTAGCTGAGCTAAACTGGGCTGAGTTGAACTGAGGTGAGCTGAGCTTGACTAAGCTGAACTGGACTAAATGGAGCTATGCTAAACTGAGCTGAACCAAGCTAAGCTATCACAGGCTGAATAGGGCTGGTATAGTTGGGCTTAAAGGAGCTCTGGTAGCGTAGTGGTTACGAATCGGGCTGCGAACCTTAAGGTCAGCGGTTCGAAACTACCAGCCGTTCCGCGTGAGAAAGATGAGGCTTTCTACTCCCGTAAAGATTTACACCCTCGGAAACCCTGTACAGGGTCGCTATGGGTCGGAACCGACTCGACGGCACTTAACAACAACAACAAATGTGGGCTGAAGTGGGCTAAATTGGGCTGAGCAAGGCTATCTGGGATGAGCTGAATCAAACCAAACTGAGCTGAATTAAATTGAGCTTGTTGTTGTTGTTAAGTGTCATCGAGTCGGTTCCGACACACAGCGACCCTGTATAGGGTTTCCGAGGGGGCAGCTGGTGAGCTTGAACTGCCAACCTTGCAGTTCAAACGGCTTTGCAGTCTGGTACATTAACCCAGAGCGCCACACCAGGACTCCTGATTGAGCTAGTCTAGGTAAATGTGGGCTAGCTGAGCTGAGCTGAACTGAGCTGACTGAGCTGGACTAGAATGGGCTGAGCTTGTCTGGACCAAGCTGTGCTGAGCTTGAGTGAGCAGGATTGAGAAGGCTGGTTGAGCTAGGATGAGCTGGGTTAAACTTGTCTGGGATGGACCAGACTGACCAAAATTGACCAGGACTGAGTTAAACCAAGGGGTCCTGGTATGCACTGTAGGATAACCAATGGACCGAAAGGTTGTTTGAACTGCAAGGTCAGAGGTTTCAACTCACCACTTCTTGGGAACCCTATACAGGGTTGCTATGAGTCAGAACTGACCTGATGGTGCTTAACAATAACAATGTGATAAACTGAGCTGAACCAAGCTGAGCTGGGCTGGCTGTGCTGAGCTGGGCTAGTTGGGAAGAGTTGAATCGAGCTAGGATGAAACTGGAATAGTTGACCTAACTGGGTTACCTTGGCTGAGATGGACTAAATTGAACTGAGTCACTGTGCTGGGGTTGGTGGGCTGAGATGGGCTAGCAGGGATGAGCTGAATCAAATATAGATAAGTGGGCTAAAGTGATCTAGGCTAGATGAGCTGAGCTGGGTTGGACTGAGCTGGATTTTGGCTCACTGGGGTGAACTGAACTGAAGTGAGTTGAGCTTGTCTCAGATGGACAGGACTGAGTTGGGCTGAACTAACTGAACTGGCCTGGGCTGAGCTTGGCATACCTAGACTGGGCTGAGTTGGCTGAGCTGAGCTGGGCAAACTGGACTTAGCAGGGTTGAGATGAGTCGAGCATGTCTGAGATGCACTGGACTGAGTTGGGCTGAGCAAGGTAGAGCAAGGATGAGAATAGCTGGACTAATAAAACATATGCTCAACTAAGCTGAACAAAGCTGAGCTGAACTGAATGCAGTTTTGTTGGGCTGGGCTAGCTGGGCTGAACTAAGATGAGTTGGGTTGGATGAAGCTGAGCTGAACTGAGCTGAGCTAAACCAAAATGAGTTAACTGAACTGAGTTAAACTGGGTAAAACTGGGTCAGGCTGTTCTGAGCTAGACTTTGCTTGACAGATTGAGATGGGAAAACTTGAATGAGTTGAGCAGTGTCCAACAAAGCTTCATTGGGCTTATTAGAGCTAGCTGAGCTTGGCAGAACTTGGAAAAACTAGGCTAAGTTGGTTGAGCTGCTTTAGGATTGCACTGAACTCCTGCATTGTACTTGGCTGGACCAGGTGAGTCTAGTGTGAGCTGAGTTGGTCATGTTGGACAGTCCTAGAGGATACTATACTATACTGACTTTGGTAGATCTCAGGATACAGGCTATGCATCATTGGCAGTAGTGTGCAGCTCTCAGGTAACACTCCATCTGGATTCCAAGTAAACTGGGCAGAAATATTTGCTCGAGTTGACTCAGATGGACTCACGCTTGAATGAGCTGGTGGGGGCTCTGCTCTTTGTTAGCTGATCTACCTGTGGCTAATACCCAAGCCTTCACCCATCCCAAGGCATGAAGGTGGGGAGGTCACTGTCTTTTTTGTCTGAACTCCAGGGAGACACTTTCAGGCAGGGACCAGCAGTGGGAATGGTGGCATCAAGGTGGGTGCTGGTATAAGGGCCCATGTCTGACTGTTTCAATAGGAAGGCCTCCTCCACCTTAGTATTCATCCTAAACAGGGTTTCCCTGGGCCTGGAAAAGGACATGAGCCACACTGTTGACCATGTCTTTCCAGGACCTGGAGAAACAGAAGTAGGTTTTGAGAGTAGAGGAGAGGATTGGCAAGGCCTTAGGAAAAACCGCTCAGTTCTGACACACTGGCAACTTGCATGAATAAAACCTCCTCTATCCCTTTTCTCTTATGTCCACTCTTGGATCCTCAGCGAGTCAATCTGCTCCATCTATCTTCCCACTCATCTCCTGTGGGAGTCTCCTGCCTGAACAGAACAATGTGGCCATAGGCTGTCTTGCACGTGACTTCCTGCCCGATTCCATCAAATTCTCCTGGAACTTCAAGAACAACACTGCCATTGATGCCCATAAGTTGAAGACCTTTCCATCGGTTATGCGGGCGGGCAAGTATATAGCCAGCTCTCAGGTGCTTCTCCCCTCTGAAGACGTCCTTGAGAACACTGATGGGTACCTAGTGTGCAAAGTCCAGTTTTCAAATGGCAACAACCAAAATCTGAATGTGCCCTTCCCAGGTGAGAGCAAGTGGACTTCCACCTCTATATGGGTGGGGCAGGGAGGTGACTGTCCTGTCCTAATGTCTCTTGGCCTCTGTGTTCTCCACTGCAGTACCAAATGTAGAGCTCCCTCCCAATGTGAATGTGTTCATCCCACTTCGAGATGCTTTCTCCAGCACCAGTCAGCGTACCTCCAAGCTCATCTGCCAGGCCACAGGCTTCAGCCCCAAGCAGATCTCTCTGTTCTGGCTGCGGGAGGGGAAGCCAGTGCAGTCGGGCTTCAACACAGGTGAAGTTGAGCCTGAGCCCAGAGGGCCTGGACCACTGACCTACCAGATCACCAGCACACTGACGATCAGCGAAAGTGACTGGCTCAGCCAAAGAGTGTTCACCTGCCTCGTGAAACACAGTGGGCTGGATTTTACAAAGAACGTATCTTCTGTGTGTGGATCCAGTGAGTGCACAAGCCCCCTGGTTGGGAGGAATTGGGTCCTGAATGTAAAATAAGTCTGCCTGGCTCCCAGCAGAGCCCCTGTCCCTCCTGGGTCAGGCAGGGATCCCCAACAAACACACACATGTGCACACACACATATCCATATATACATGCCCACCTCCTCTGCACCAGCAAAGGGCTGTCCATCCTTGCCAGTGGGAAAGGGGTTATCACAAAGTAAGGTGTCCTGTGTCCCCTCTACCACATGATTCTTGCAACAATGTCTGCTACTGTGTTCAAGTAAAATGGTTGTTATTGTTAAGTGCTTCTGTATAGTTTCCAAGGAGTGGCTGGTGAGCTTGAACCTTGTGGTTCAAACCGACCTTGAGGTAGAGTGCACCATTTGTTGTTGTTATGTGCCGTGGAGTCAGTTCCGTCTCATAGCGACCCTGTACAGGGTTTCCGGGGCTGTAAATCTTTACAGAAGCAGAAAGCCTCATCTTGCTCCTGCGGAACAACTGGTAGTTTCGAACTGCTGACATTAAGGTCCGCAGCCCGATTCGTAACCACTATGCTACCAGAGTTCTTAGAGTGCACCATTTGGCACCACAGTAAAACTACACCTCCCCAAATTTCCTTCCTACTGACCACTGATCCCAACTTTCTCTTAAAACCAGGTCCATCAACAGGCATCAAAATCTTCACAATTCCCCCCTCCTTTGCTAGTATCTTCCTCACTAAATCAGCCAAGTTATCCTGCCTGGTCACAGACCTGGCCACCTATGACAAGCTGACCATCACCTGGACTCGCCAGAATGGTGAAATTCTGACGACCCACACCAGCATCTCTGAGAGCCACCCCAATGCCACCTTCAGTGCCATGGGCGATGCCACTGTCTGTGTGGAGGATTGGGAAACAGGGGAAAAGTTTACATGCACTGTTACCCACACTGACCTCCCCTCACCATTGAAACAGACGATCTCCAAACCCAAAGGTGAGGTCCCTTTCCTGGTGGGACAAGGTTGACTGGGGTGAGTTAGCTCAAACAGCCCCTTTGTTCACTTATCCTACTCTGCTATCTCTCTCCCCACAGAGGTGGCCAAGCATGCACCAGCTGTATACTTGATGTCACCCACCCGGGAGCAGCTGAGCCTGCGTGAGTCAGCCTCCATCACCTGCCTCGTGAAGGACTTCTCGCCCCCTGATGTGCTTGTTCAGTGGCTGCACAAGGGTCAGCCTATTGCCTCCAACAAGTACACCACCAGCACCCCGATGCCTGAGCCCCAAAACAAGGGCTCCTACTTCACCTACAGCATCCTGAGCGTGCCAGAGGAGGACTGGAGTGCCGGAGATACATACACTTGTGTTGTGGGCCATGAGGCCCTGCCCCATCTGGTGACCGAGAGGACCGTGGACAAGTCCACTGGTAAACCCTCCCTGTACAACGTGTCCTTGGTGATGTCTGACACAGCCAACACCTGTTACTGACTGCTGGGCTCCTGACTCAGCTTGGCCCTGCATGGTGACCAACCACTGTATGTGCTCATGTGTGCATTCCAACTAACTATGTCTGTGGGTGAGATGCTGTATGCTATAAAAATTAGAAATAAAAATATCAGCTCAAAAGATACTGGTTCTGTGTGAGCACTGCTCACTTGCCTATGGTACACCTGCCCAGTCTTTGTCTGCATATCACCCACATACCTCCCAAATTCTGCTCCACTGCCCTTTGAACACTTTTGCCTCCTTGCTGACTGCTCACTCCCCAGGTCTACTGCTCAATGTTTCTCTAGCATCTTCCAAAAACACTGGTTGGTGCAACATGTACAAATACAGATACACACAGACACATGGGCACATACATGCACATACAGACATACTCATGGCACAGAGACACATATGGACACGTGGACATAGGCACTTAGACACATACAGACACACATGGACACAAAGACATGGATATATTGACACTAGGAAACACACACAACTGGATATTGATACAAAAAAACACACAAGGATATAGGTACACACAGATATGGACATATAATTACCCAGACAAGGCCACACAGACATATGAATACTCATATGAACACACGGACATAGATATATTAACACATGAATATACACACAGAAACACACATATGGATACTGAAAAACAGACACATATGAATATAGACACATGGATGAAAGACATGGATTTATGAACACATGGACAGATGAACACACAGACACAGGGACATAGATACACACATGGATGTGGACACACAGACACACATGGGTTTAGGGAAAAAGTGCACATGAAAAAAGTCCACACAAAAATCTCACACAGAAGAAGACCCACTGTGGTGAATATACACAAGAAAAATGCATACAGTGACAATTGCTAAGCCCAATTAGTGTTATTGTTGTTGTTTTTCTGTGTGAGCTTTTTGTGTGGGCATTTTTCATCTGAACTTTTTTTCCCTGCTTTTCTACACACAAATATAGACACTAACAACTTTACAACTTGCCACAGCTAGCTTGTCCTTCTACCTCAGCTTGAAGGAGCAAAGGGCCATCTCAGCCCAGATCCTGACCAGGAATACAGAACCCAGGCCAGGGTAAAGAGCTTAGAGGGGATTGGGGAAAGAACAGGTGGTCCTGGACAGAGATTTGTTGTTGTTGTTATGTGCCGTAGAGCCAGTTCCAACTCATAGCGACCCTGCACCAGATTTCCAAGGCTTTAAATCCTTACAGGAGCAGAAACCCTCATCTTTCTCCCTCAGAACAGCGGGTAGTTTTGAACTGATGACCATGAAATTAGCAGCCTGATTAGTAACCACTATACTACAAGAACTCCTTTGGACAGAGTTAGCCCTCACAATAAAGCGGTTTGCCCCCAGACCCTATTTGTAAACAGAACCAGGAGTGCATGCCTACATCCTGAGAGGAGACAGGCAGGACTTAGGACCCAGGGGCAGGAATCTTACAGGTACTCTCCACCTTAGTCAGTAGGAAGTTTCAAGGAGACCAATGAGAGTCAGATTAGCTCCCTGTGAATGTCCCCAGACACCCCCAGCAGAGCACTAGTGTGCTCACAGCATCCCTAAAGGTAACACCAGTCCTTGAGACCACCCCTGGATTCTCCTAGCACCTGGCCCCCAGATGCCCATCTTTAGCCTGTTCATTCCTATTAATCTTCTGGGCACCAGGCTGTCCTTCTGTTTGTCTGTATGTAACCTTGGCCAGGGTGGGACATAACTAGTCAGTATGTTATCCCTCTGAGAGTATGAGGCATAAAGTGAGGATGAAAGATATAAGAGGAGCCCCAGAGGCCATTTCTCAGGCTCTGACATTCAGCCACCTGGGAATGTTGCCCACGTATCCACCCACAATGGCCATCCTAAACCAGAAAAAGGTTCTTTTATTTAAGTGTATCTGTCAAGAGGTCTCAAGATACATCAGTGGGTCCTTTACTGAGTTCTTCTGGCCATGGCCTTGTGACCCTTCATGAATCTAGAGCCGGGTATCACCAATCCACTCAACTTGACCATGTTCCCCATTCACCCTGAGCCCACACCTGTCCATCAGGTGTCAAAGTGATTGCAGGCCATACCTGGTTGGAGAATCTTCTAGAAAGATCAGGAAGTTCTACATTCAAATGACAGACAAGACCTACACCCTCCCACTGTTCACTATCATCCTTCTCTGTCCAGCACCCTGTCTCTCTGCTGCTGTCTTGCTCCTGCTGCCCACATCCCTACCATGGATGAAACCATGGTGTCACTGTAATCTCAGTTCACTGGTAGCAGCTCCTGGTCCTGAGCACTGAGCTTGCCACACACCCCACTCCAGTTTCTCAGTCCCAGGGACAGGCTTGTTGGCATGCTGTTGCTGACCCCACTCTGGGTACAACCCTAAGCTGACCATACACTCTTTTCTATTGTCCTTATAGTGGGAGAAGTGAATGCTGAAGAGGAGGGCTTCGAGAACCTGTGGGCTATGGCCTCCACCTTCATTGTCCTCTTTCTCCTGAGCCTTTTCTACAGCACTACGGTCACCTTATTCAAGGTAGCCCAGCTTGGAACAAGTGGGGTGAAGGTTCCTGCAGAGGGGATAAGGGTGGATTCAGAAGGAGAGAGGGCAGGAGAGACCCCACTGGTGCACATCTGATTAAAAGCTTTGAGAGGTAGAACCATTATATCTCCAAAAACCCCAAGGGTCATTGATCACCTGGGTATGAGAAGGTGTGACTATCTGAGTTGTAGAGTAAGGTGTCTGTCTTCTCACTGCTAAGCAGGAGGTGGGAACCTGAAGCAGGTCTAAAACGACTTGGGAGCTCATAGGATCATGCTGGTACAGGAGGAACATTGATCCTGGGTCCCTGCCTCATGGGATCCACTGGACTCATTGTCACTCATCATTAGTCCAACAATGAGAGAGTAAATCACACTGTCCTTTTCTTCAGGTAAAGTGATCCATCAAGAGAAGGATGTCTGAGACCTGAGATGAGACAAGAGAAGGCATCACCTTTGTGTCCTGTCCTGTTCCAACCTGTATCCCCTGGACATTTATACTGCACTCCCCATTTCCCTCTTGGCTTTGAGCTCTGAGAAACAGTCTTCTATCTAGAAATGTGTGCGGAACCCAGGGCCGTAGACTTTGACTCAAGTGCTGCTTAGTTGTGTGTGCACTTGTGGCTGTGAAATAAAAGTGTATATTTTTTTCCTAAAACACTCTTCTTTGTGATGTTTTTGTTTAATCACATGCCTTTATATTTCAAAGGGGGCATAAGGTTGGTCACATATCAACACAGCCCACTGTGACAGGGTGTCTAGGGTAGGTGCTGTACACACAGTGGGGCTTCTTGAAGCTTATGGAAGAAAAAAAAATGGCTACTTTGGAGGGAATTCCAGGGTGGGTTAGTGTCCAAAATAAGATCAGAACTGAGGCCTAAGGCTTGGACCTTTGTGTAACCTTTGTATGGAAATTGTGAAGAGGTTCACAAATTTCTGCTCATTGAGTGATCAATCCCTACATGGCCCCCACTGCTGGTCACTCATCATGTGGTCACTTACTTTTGGTCTTTAAAGTGTGGTCCTTGATGTATGATAACTCACCACATGATGCTCACTGTAAAATCTTCAGTGTGTGGTTACTTACCACATGGTCTTTACTGTGTCATTTAGTACATGCTTACTTGTCACATGGTCTTTGCCACATATCACTCTACATTATCTTCACTGCATGTTAATCACATGTGGTCCTCACTATGTAGTTACTTCCCACGTGGTCTTCACTGTTTGGTCCTCACCATGTATCACTTCCTGCATGATCCTCACTGTGTAGTCATCTCTGTGTATGACTAGCTGTATTGTCTTCATCATGTGATCACTCTCTACATGGAAATCACTGTGTACAATCACTACATGGTCCTCATTGTGTGGTTCTTTTTATCAGTGGTGGCCCCTAAACAGGCCTAAGATATTAGGTACTGCAGGAACAACAACAAAAAAAAAAATTATAAGTAAGGCCAGGTCATGACGTGGTCTTCAATATGTGGTACTTGCCACGTGTCACTATCTTAGTGTTTCTTACCTTGTGCCACTCACTGCAGAGTCCCCATTGTGTCACTGCATGATCATTCACCACTTGGTCCTTGCTGTGTGGTTCACACTGTCCCCACCCTTGGATAGTCCTCATAGCATGTAGTATGTGACAAAGTTGGATAATGGGAGAGCATAGTGGTCCAGGCAAGGCACTCTGTCAGATGGGAACTTCACCTCACTCTGCTTGGAATAGTGTCAGCACAACAATGTACATTGATATCAGTGTTAAAATAGCAGTAGCAGTTTCATAGGGAACAGATTAGTAAAGCACATGATGGGAAAAGGCTTCATCACACTAAAAAATGGCAGCTTGGTACAAACAAGAAAGCATGGGAGAAATGAGTCTCATGAAAGTCAGGTATGGTGAAATTGGGACAATTGGCTAGCCATAGTGTGGACAGTGGGACAACCAGGAATTTCACACACCAAAGAAATAACTGGGCCAGCCATGAATTTTGTGAGGAGACTATAAGGAGGGTTGAGTCAGGTCAGAATGTAGGGGGTATGAAAAGAGGCACCTGGGGTGGTACCTTGTTGAGAGGAGATTATTGGGAGCCAGGTTGGGTCTGGAACAGTCAATCTCAGAGAAGAAGAGCAGTAGGTCTCCAAGGGTCAGCCCCCAGGGATGTGTGCATGCTCCACAAAGATCAGACAAGCATATCCCTACAAGGTCCCAGACACGCAGGACTCAACTAGGTGGGGATAGACCCAGGAGCCAATCCCTGAGGTATTCATGTCACCTGGATAACACACCCACCTCAAATCTCTCAAGTGATGCTATCTATATACAGGATGCTGTGGAGGCAGTCTAGAAGAAAGACTCCCAGGATGTCAGTGAGGTTTAAAAAAATGCCCAATCCAGGTGCTGCAGGCAGGATCTAGTGGTGACTTGGGGAAGGG